TTTAAAATAAAAAAACGAATCAGATAGATCTAGATATCTAGAACTAGATCTAGATCTACTAATAATAAGCTCTTATACTTATATAGATATCTAGTGTAGTAATCTTATGTTAAAAAAAAAATTCGACTTGGCCTATAGGCTAGCCCTAGATCTAGAGTCTAGATCCAGTCTATGGAAGGAACAGTAAATTTTCAACAGGTTAATTTGTATTGCTTGCAAATAAAGACGGCTTGTAAATTTACACTGGTCACTTATTACTTTTCAATTTCCATGACAATTCGATCACAGCCCTCATTTGCAATTTAATAAATTTAAAATTCTTTTAACCAGCTTTACTTTTAGGCTGCTTACAACAACAGCAGCAACAACTGCCGCGTTGTGGGCAGCAGCAGCAGTAGCAACAATAACAACAACAACAACAACAACACCTAAACAACCACCACCAACAACAGTAAATTTAAGCTTTGGTCTATGGCACAATTTAGTAGCTTAACGTCGTCACACAAAATAACAAAATTAACTTACCCTGTACATTAGGCCTATAGCTTGTTTTATCATTAGTATGATCCTTATTACACACACTCATCGCTGCTGTCCCCGATTCCTTCTTTTTCTCTCCTCCTCCTCCTTCCTTATCTTCACCATCAACATATTCATCATCATCAGCGGCAGTATGGCCCTGCATCAAGCGAGAGAGCAGGTCATTCTATCCAGTCTCTTCATTTATTTGCTGAAAGGCTGCATCCTACTCTACCAGAGTTGGTTCTAAAGGCAGGGTCGGATTACAATCTTGTCTCCAAAATTAACTGAACCCTGCTGACGGTGGCTTTAATTACCATTTCCTATCACAGTCATACTTAACAATACAATGTCACCACCATGACCCCTTCTTCATTTCCCTTCCATTCATTTCTAAAAAGATATTCGAAAGTGTTGTTTTTTTCTATTTATTTGTTTTGTTGGGATTGTTTTTGTTCCTTTTTCTGCAGGCGCGCCTTTAATTTCAACTTTTATTCTCTTTAAAATTGTACACGTGTGTGTGTGTGTGTGTGTGTGTGTGTGTGTGTGTGTGTGTGTGTGTGTG